GATTTGTGTTATAAGTTTTCGTTGATGTTCAAACCATGGACCATGGTGAACAAAACACAGTACACGTAGGCCTACATCGCCGGTGTTGCACTGCAACAGTGCATGCAATACATGCATGTACACCATTCATCGCGATCGGCATCGTGATGGACACCACGATCCCAATAAAATTAGATTCTGAAATCTTACACAACTATCCCGACGTGTAACCATGTACTTATTTTTTTTCTTTCCATAAACTCTCTAACACCATGCTAAAACTATATCGATAAGTACTAAACGTAGCCAAATCGACCGACTCCGTTTTCCAAAGTCTCTAAAAAAAAGGAGCTTTAGCCATATTGTCTGGAGCCTGAACTTAAGTCCCTACTATGATATGCCATGGAACAAGAGGAACCACACTACTTTGCATGTGGGCTTTTCGACTAGCTCCCAGTCCATCCGGCAGGTTTTTTTTCGCTAGTGCGCACAAGGTTCTCGGACTTTATTTTCCCATCCCGTGTCATTTTAAATAAGTCAGACTATGACGAAACTTCTAGCAAAACAAGCTATAGTTTTCAAAGATTGCTTCAGGTATTAATCGGATAGAAATACACTTAAAAGGTAAAAGAGAGAAAATACAATAGGAGTTTATTCTGAATTAACAAAAGGAGCTTATCGCCCGCGAACTTCACAAATACTTCAACAAAAACTTCTTGGCAAAACATCATGGCAGAACAAAAGCAAACAGTTTCTTTAACGAATACTGGGGGCGAATATGACAATATAATGAATTAAATCAGTGTAATTTTTTTTTTAAATGGAAGCTAAACAAATTTGAATTAATTAATCAAGTTTCCAAAACGATTTTTTTTTCTTTAAAATGTCACAATTATTTATTATCGAACAGAACTTTTTGCAATAACAAACGTAATTTCTTTTACAAATGATTGGGTGCGAATATAAATATATCATTAATAAATTTCAGTTTAAATCTTTGAAAAAGTTCCCAAACGAATTTCTAAATTAACGTTATTAATATCTGCAAACATCTTCATATGCCACTTGTCCTTGCCAAATCCTAGATGCATGACAAATAAAACAGCAACTCCCAATCACTGGATGTCCGATCACTTAATGATGAGAAATTATTCGTACGTACAATTAATGCGAACAGCGAACCGCACGTGCCGCCCAACCAGTGCACGTACGGACAGCTTGACCGGCCGGCCTCTAAACGCAGAGGCCCGGCGCGGGAGGCTGGGAAACACGCTGTCGTGTCGTCGCCGTCCTTGCTCTATGCCCAAACGCACTCACAGTCTGAACCTCTACCTCTGACTTTTATAAAGTATTTCTAACCCAAACTTTTATAAAAAAAAGAAGAAGCTAGTTTCTTGTATTTGTGCCGGTGTCATGTGAAAATCCGACTGCTGTGAAAATCGGAACCCTATTATTGGTTAATCCTTCACACGTGACAGGTCACTCTCTCTTCTCAAACAAGGACCTTTTTCTTAATAAAGAGTCCACATTTCATGGAGTCGGATATTCACGCTACACCGGGAGTCCTTCCAAATGTAGTCTGAAAATATTGGCTACCTGCGGAATCTCGCAAAAAAACTTGGAGTTCGCAAAACTTGCGTAGGCCTACGGTTGTAACGAAAAGTTCACGTCAAAAGATTTCCAATGCTTGCAAAAAAAAAATAAAATAGTGTTTTCTCTGGGATCGTGTCATTGAACCACAGATGTACATAAAAAAACACGTGCACATACCTTATATGGGAACATTTTGCAAAAAAACCCACATAGTACCACTTGGGGTGCATGAATTGAAGACCGCTGCACGCCGCCGCAACGCGGAGATACACGAGAGCCGAAGTAGCACGATCGGAACGATATACAGTGTAGTTCCAGAACGACCAAAATAATGCCCACAAGTTTTCCATCTGTGATCCTGAGTGGAAAAGTAGAGAGACTTCAAACAATGTGCGTACTCCTGTCACAAAATCGTAAACACTGCGACTATTGAGTCGTCGGTCGGCATGACATTTTATTTTATTTTTTTTCTCGGGAGCCAATACATGTACGTTTAATTGGTCCACAATCTATGTATTTTGAGATGAGTTTGGAGACAGGTTTTATCGTAAGACGTTCGGAAGTTCATCAACCACGGAGCAAGGGACAATTTTCAACCACTGTCGTGCCGACGTTCTCTAGACTACGCTTGCGCTTTTCCATGGTTCGTCAGGTTGGACTCTTGCGGCGATATCAATTAAAAAATCGTCGTCAACTTAGGCCAAAAAAAGTCTCCGGTTCTGGTATGGAGCTTGCCCAAAAAGTGGTACGGCGACGGGGCTTTTTTTTTTTTTTTACCTGATTTTTTTTGCTTCAAATGTCGGCTGATGACTGCAAATGGTGCCCGACTGCAAACTTAGTGCAAATATATGGAGTCCAGAGAGGCCACATAAAGCTTATTCTCGATCATAACCCTACCTAAAAACACGTTAGAATTGTGCAGCAGCAGGATTTCAGTCAAACCAGTGAGTTTGGCTGTTTTGAGACATTTTTTTTTCATTAAAAAAAAAACTGTTTGATTTTGCCGACGCGCATGGCCGGCCACGGCAACGCGCATACCAGAAACCGGAGACTTTTTTGGGGGGGGGGGGGGGGGGCTTTATGGATTTTCACAAAGAATTCCTTGAATGTCATTTTAAGATTCCACTGAAAGAAATTTCCTGTTTTTGTTTTTTTGGAAAATGTTCGCATTCTCCGATGTGTAGAGCAAATATTGCCGTCTTGCGTGCACGTGCACGAGAGCCGTATACGTACGCCGCAGTGAAGTCGTAACCTCGTGGCCATTGTAGAATGATATAGCATAACGAATTTTTCTATTGGCTAACGCGATGTCAACAAAGACTTGCTTTCAGCAACCTGAAAGCGTTTAGTTTTAAAAAATGATCGTTAGGACACTTTGTTTCCATGATTTCTGCCACAATTTCAAACAACAATTTCATCAAAAATCGGTTTCCATGATGCATGACGTCCCTAGGCTCGAAAGTCTGTACGGCCGTGTAACTCGCGGTCAACCAATAGAATTGCTTGTATAGGCACGGACATTTTCGTGGGAATTTCCCCTGTCACGCAATACCGCGCTGCTGTACAGCTAGCTAGCTCAGAACTTCGCTCGTAACCCCCGCCCCGGCATGGCGCACGCACAGGAACATGAGACGTACACACGACCAGACTTTTTGGACTGCATTGACGAAGTTTTGAAGTACATTCAAACTATAACACGATGTTTTCTTTTGGATAATAAGACAGAAAACAAATTCACTTGCTGATAATGACTTTAAATCATTTTGGCGGTCGGCGATTTTGACCAATTTTGATCGGAAGTCGATATAGTAATAGTTTTGTTCTCTAATAAACCCATACAATTGTGTGGGTCACATTTATCGCTTTCAAAAATGGGGTCGGTCGGGTGACCCGAACCAAAGGTGTTTTTTTGTTTTGTTGGCCTAAAGGTTCGCCATTATGCCAGTGCGGCCCATTGGCGCAACAATTCGTGTCTGTTTAGAAAAAAAACATGCCATTCATAAATTACAACTAAGCCTTTCTAAGATAATCAGGCCATCTACTTACCCCTGGACGCGCGGTTTGGTAGCGGTCTCATACCCTTCAAATTATGTGGACCATCAACACAGTCGTTGTTCAAGACCAACAATTGCAACAAAAGACCGTTTAGCACCTAGCGAACACGCAGACTTTACCAGGTGATTGACATAATTACAATTGACACGCTTTAATTGGATATAATAAAGGCGTCAAGAAGTCTTACCTAACGGTACGTTGCGGTTTACAGAGCATGGTTTTACACACGGTTAAAATGAGTGACCCTTTGTTTGGCCAGAGCGCGGGCGGCGAGAGGATTAGTACTGCATAACAATGAAGTGGTATGGGTGTGAGGGATCGGTGGAAACACGGTTAAAATGGGGTTAAGGATTAAAACTCAATGCACACGGTTAAATTGTGGTTGAAACGCGGTGGTTTGCTTTTTAACCGTCAAACTGCATTTTTAACCGTGTACATTTTCATAGTGTGTGACCATGACACTAGTAATAACAGAAACTGCCCAAATGGAGATCAACAATACACAGTGCACAGCAAATATCATAAACAGCTTGCTTAGACCCCCTTTACACAGGGCTGCAACCTTTGGGCCTCCCTTGTGGGACCATAAAACTGGCCAGGTCGCTGTTGGAGGCTAAAAGGAGGGCGAATGGTTGCCTAGGTCGTTCAAGGTGGTACACAGGATGTTCAGACATCGCCATGGAAGCCATGGTCGCCGTAAATTTTTGAACATGTTCAAAACAGTCGCACAAAGGTCACCGAGGAAGTTGGTTGCTCAAAGGTGGCTCAAATGAGGCAGAAGGGAGGCACAAGCATTGGCGTGGTTGCAGAATGGATGCGCAATGGTCGGCCAATGATTGCTACGTAATAGATCCGTTCTGTTGCAAATTTTACCGTCAATCTGGGCGATGCTTCTGCCTCCCTTGTGCCTCCTTTGGCCGACCAATAGTGTACATTGAACGATGACTGTGGTGACCGCTATGCCTCCATTCAGCGACCACGGGAACCCTTGAGCCACCATGGCCATAGGTTGCACAGGGGAAGCACAAGGGAGGCAGGCAAGTGGCTCAGAGGACACACAGGTAGTTCGTAGCTCGACATGAAAATGCCCGAAAGTTGCAGTTTTGGTGGTTCAAGGGAGGCATAAGGATCGCTGGGGCAGTTACATGTACATTGTACATAGAAACAGGATTTTCTGGGTTTAGGCGACCATTGAGCGTCCTGGCCAATTTTTGGTCGCTCATAGGTGGTACAAAGGTCGCAGCCGTGTGTAAAGGGGGCCTTAGCGCCAAATGAGGTCCATCCCCAACCCAGGTCGAGTCATCAAGAAAATACTGGGGGAGTTTTTGCACCCCTCGGATTGCAAATCCTGGGTGTGCAACGGTGACACTTACAGCGTTTATCGCCACTCTCTTGAAGTAAAATGGAAGTTTCTCGGTCATGTCCACGCAGACGATGTCAATCTCCAGCTTGGTGCAAGCCATGTGGAACATCTTCTCTGTGGTCGGCTGCACGGCTAGCAGGTCATAGGACTGTATATTGTCCTGCCTCTGAAAGCAGAAAACATGGGGGGAGGCAAAGCTGTAAACTGAGACGATCATAAGTCAATACAGGCCCGTATGGAATATTCTTTTTAAAAAAACATGCGGGGGGGGGAGGGGGCTGGAAGCCATCTGATGCGAGGGAGTGTTGCTGTATATATGTAAGATGTCAAATTGACGCGACATGGTCAAATTTTGGAGATATTGTATGGTGGAAAAAAATGTTTATATTTGATTAACCCTAACTCCCTAGGCCTTTTTGCTAGGATGTAGCCTCAATCCTGCAAAATCCTCCAATTGGCCTCATGAAAAAATATCCTATAGCCTCAACCCTGCAAATTCCAAATATGGTCCGTGGAGGGGTGACCACTGCCTGAATCCTGCAAAATCCTGCTGCAGTGACTGTCAATATGTTGAGGCTTGGCCAGTGACATCCTGGAGCAGTACGGAGGATTTCAAGCATAATCCAGGCCTATATCTATGCATGGCTGAGCAAAAACCAACACAAGGTCTGGCCCAAGACCTTGACAAAGATCCTACGAAATCAGTGACGCACTTTTGCTATGTAACCACATTCCTCCAAATTCCTCCACTTTGACAAAGAGGATTTTGAAGGATCCAGGGCGGTTAGGGTTAACTTTTGATATAAAGTTCATGGAATCTTGCACCACACACACACAAAAATGGATGGGGGCCACAATTGGGAGAGTAGCAGGCTGGTAAAGTTACAAATAGGATACTTAAACATGTGATGAACCTTTTCTAATTCTCCCCTGCCCAACTTCGAATGCCCGAAAAGTCAACACTCAAATCCTATATCAGGCCACAAGTAACACAGAAACAGTGAGATACGCTTGTCTTTCCCACAGTTTATTCAAATAGGCCTTCTCAAACTGTCGTCTTGCCTATCCATGTTGCAATCCACCATGATCGGAGCGGGGTTTAATCCCACGGAAGTAAGAACAGTTTATCCCACAGGAAGTACCTTCCGATTTGGTCTTGTAAACGGACAGCGTTTATAAAAGTGATGAATTCTACCCATTTTTACTCACCAATTTGTGTGTTTCTGAGCCTTCTGATAACACCATATTCACCCGTGACAACTGTTTGAAACCTTTTGATTGTACCTGTTTGGGAAAAAAAAGGAACATCACTTCGAAAAAAAAAACAGGCAAAACAAAGATTCACTCAAAATACAAAACCGTCCACTGGCATGAATCCAGCAAACGACACCGTAGAAAAAAAGTCCATCCTAGAGAGACTGCTCCACGCATGTATCTTAGCTGGTGTGCAGGCGCAGATCCAGAAGGGGGGGGGGGGTTAAAGCCACTCCCCGCCCCTTCTGACAACCCCCCCCCCCCCAAAAAAAATTATTATAATTATTGCATCCGTAACAATGTGCTGCATATTCTCTCATGTCCGCGTGTCATCAACAATTCTATATATAAGCAAATCTGACAGGCCTGAACCCCCTCCCCTTGCAAAAATTCCTGGATCTGGCCCTGTTGTGTGTGATTCAAATGCTGTAAAAGTGTTCTAAATACTTCATTGCTTTGATGACCAATGTCAAGTTAAAGAGGTTGTGGAATGCTCGAAGACATTTCCCTCATTTTCCGGGTATATGTAGCCTAAGGTGTGATGAAATAAAAACGACTACTGTGTCTGTCACGAAATGAGTACAAAAGGTACTTTTGAGAGCTGTTTTTCAGGTCCTGTTTCGACCCGAACGTGCAATTTGTGTAAAAGTCGTCGTTGGGGTCAGCAAACAAAGCACAGTAAATCGCGACGTAATAAACAGGACTCCCTATGCAGCGTAGTATAAACGAGTCCTGTTTATTACGTCACGATTTACTACGTGTTGTTTGCTGCCCCCAACGACGACTCTTACACAAATTGAACGTTCGTGTCGAAACGGGACCTAAAAAACAGCTCTCAAAAGTACCTTTTGTACTCATTTCATGACAAACGCAATAGTCATTTATATTTCATCACACCTTAAGCTACATATACCCGAAAAATGACGGAAATGTCTTCGAGCATTCCACAACCTCTTTAAGACGGTTCTTGCAGAAATGACAGGTCTCCAAACACGTTCTAATTTGGAGAGGGTAGGCATGGTAGGGGGCAAAATATCAAGCCTTCTCCCCAAATTCTGATTATGAACCAAAACACGAAGAAAAGTGTAGTAAAAATCCATCCACAAACAAAATATCCCTCCACTTTAGATGAATGCTGACAGCTTGGCTAGATATTTGAATACTTACCCCCACAGCCGCTTTGGTCTGACCATCTAGCTTAACAGCAGCAGGTGCATTTGGGAGTTTCACCTAAACATTTTGAAAAACAGTAAAAATTGTACACCTAGAAATTCAATTGCATGATCATAATAGACCACACGTTTTCGAGTTATCCATTGTCCGAAAGTATATACATGTACCTTTGTTCTTATTAACGATCTTTCCAAATTTTGAAATCTCCGGGCTTTCTCAAATACTGGACTTTCTCAGTATTTACAGCAACACAATGATGCCTGCTAAATTTCTCGACAAGTTGAGTTTTCCCGAATTTGATTTCTTTTTCACTTGATATCCGCTATCTGAAAGCTACTAACCTGGTTAAAAACGAGGCAAAATCAAAGGTCAAATGAACATGACCCATGACCTTGAGAAAAATCCTGCTGTAATTGCAAATAAACTCTCTTCATATTTTCCCTGAAAATTACAGGTGTGGAAGTTAGTTTTTCATAGCAAACAATAGGCGAGGAAAACAGTCTAGATTTCAATTCAAGGAACACAACTTTTCAGGAAATTTGGCATGCAATACAGAGGAAGTCCAATGGGGCTAGATGACTGAATGAGTAAAATTGAAAAAAAAAAAAACATTATAAATTTCTTCATCTTATGGTCGAACAATTCTTGTAATGACAAGCTCAATTTTGTGCAGGCTTCAACTCCAGATTGAAATCAGGACCTTATTTGCAGCATAAAAATAAAAATACTAGGCCTATAACAGAAATCAATTTTTAAAACTAATACTAATTTATTAGTGGTGGGACTTAAATCAGGATTTTTTTAAATTCGGATTGAATCCCACTATTTGGTTTCGATTTTAGAATCCGGATATTCGAAACCTACCTTACAAAAAAATAAGGCTTCCTTTTTTTTGTGACACAGCTAAAGAAAACAACTGGAACAATTCTCCCAATTTGCTCCGTAGCCTCCAAGTGTAACTACATTCACTTGCTAGTGGTCTTCTTGGAATAGCCTACCCATTCAACTTATCAGAGAGTTCCTACCATTCTTTTTTTCAACTTTACAACTCTGGATTTTTTTTGTAAAGGCCAAGTGGTCATTGATCCTGCAAAATTACATGCAAATGTGGTCCGAGTAACTAGGACTCTACGAATCGCCCTTTTTAACATTTGGAGATGGTTGGGCGATAGTAGGTCCTAGGATCTTAGAGTAGATGGCGATACCAATAACCTATTTTGACCATTTTCACTCGTACCCCCTATCGAAATCTTCCGATTTCACCCCAAAAACAGTCCTCAAACTGCCTGATGCGCCACTGAAGGCTTCAGTGGGAATTGAAAATACAAATGGTGGTGGTTAGATTCACATACCTTTGGGAAGTAAAGAGAAATTTCACCTTCAATGCGGGAAACATTCTTGTGACACACGCCTTGTTGGAGGCTGCCATTTTGAATTCAGGAAAAATTGACTGGCATCAGACAGACCAATCACAGGGCACTTTGATTGGTCACCTGACCTATCACAGGGCACTTTGATTGGTCACCAATCCAGGTGACCAACCAAAGTGCCCTGTGATTGGTCTGTCTGATGCTAGTCAATTTTTCCTGAATTTAAAATGGCAGCCCCCAACAAGGCGTGTGTGACAAGGATGTTTCCCGAATTGAAGGTGAAATTTCTCTTTTCTTCCCAAAGGTATGTGAACCTAACCACCACCATTTGCATCAGGCAGTTTGAGGACTGTTTTGGGGTGAAATCTGAAGATTTTTAATAGGGTTACGAGTGAAAATGGTCAAAATAGGTTATTGGTATCGCCATGTAATCTAAGATCCTAGGACCCTACTATCGCCCGACCATCTCCAAATGTTAAAAAAGGTGATTCGTAGAGTCCTAGTTACTCGGACTAATGTACGTATATCCAATCACTATGGAGGGCAAGCATGAGACACCTCATTTGTCACCATTTGTTGTCATATCATGACTATTTGTTGGCATAAATAAGAACTTCCGGTGAAATCGGATAACCGTTATTCGGTGTGAAAAAAAATTAGGATAACCGGATTTTGAAATCTCTGATTTCTCCCACCACTATTTTTTAGTTCTGGATACTAACAGAAGTATTCACACCGACACAGAAATCTCACCTTGTTTTTGTCGCCGCCTTGTTTCTCTTGAACTGGGCAGTTGTAGCCAATTGCAACAACTCCATACCCCACTGCAGACCCAAAAATAAAATGGTTTTGTTTAGGAAATTTAAGATTTAAGTTTATTTCTTTACTTTTTTTTAACGGCGATCGTGTATTTACGGGCCCGGTTCCTATAAGGGAACAAATCCACTTTTAAATTATTTTATCTACCAAACTAGTTGGCGACATTAAGAACATGCAAGTATGTCATAGATAAAGGGCAGGGTTTTAATTTTTGAGGGAAATTGAGGGGGTAAAATGACGACAAAACGCAACACGAAAATAAAGATGGCGATCACAGCTCAATGTACCGTGAGTGCGCAAGTACTATTTTTTTGTACTAAGACATTTTCCGGAGACAAATTTTAGTCTGGCTCCATGCCAACACTATCATTGTAACTTCGTATCCTCAAGATGGGAATCAGACCATTTTACAATTTCGGACTTTATTTCCCTTTAAAAAAAATCCTCCAGAGCCACAAATCTGAAAAGAAAATGTAATACTCTGCAATAAAATGTTTGAGACATGTTAAAATAATAAAAGATGAAAGTTCTTATTTTGGGGGATGGGGGAAAAAAACCTTAAAAATGTCGTCAGCAGGGATCGGGATCGAACCCGGGTCTTCCCGCTCATGAGATCCGTTGCTTATCCACTTGGCCAAGTGTGCTAAACAACCGTTGGTGGGAATTTAATACTTCTTATAATTCAGCCCGATCTTAAAGAGTACAGCGCCCTCTGTTGATATGGATTGCCGCCGGCAAACCTTTAGTAAACGTTACATGTAGCTTGCCGGCATTACCTCCGGCAAAATATCCACTATCTTAAATAAATGTATGTAGCGATCGCCTTCACTGGACGGGGGCAAAGTACAGTACCTAGTTCTCGCTCATGAATATCCAATATCAAACATAAATATGATTTTGCTAGGAAATGGGCCTACTTAAAGGGACACTAGGTCCTGGAACAGCCAGATTGGGCTACAAAACGCGCTTTGAACGAGATGATGATAATCGGAAATAACTTTTAAAAGTAGGATATAAACATCCACACAACTATCCTTTCAAAACTGGGCGTTTTTGTGTTATTCCTGTATTATGCGTGCGAGAACGAATTTCGGGGTCCACTTTTGCGACCCCATAAATTCGAGCTGTTTGGATGCTAGTTAGTGATTTCATTCGTACGCGTAAAGTGTTCGCCTTTTGCGGACGTTGAAGAAACCACATTTTTTTGCATTGGTGATTGGTCACCGCGCACTGTTCCCGAGACACACACCGTGTATAGCGTACATGAGAACGACACGAAAAACGTATTCGTACTCCGTCATGTCCGATGTAAACAAGCGGGTTTTTTTACGTCTTTTCTCGGGAGCGGTAAGACATTAGGTTGGTTTCCTTTCAACCAGAATGTTTGAAATAGGCTAAGTAAACAATCCAAAACATAACCTTTTCGGGGATTTCAGGACCTAGTGTCCCTTTAACTTAGTACTTTGTGGACAATGTTCTTGACTCAGTCATACTCATCAGTTTGCTCATTCATACTCCACAACACTAGTCAGTTTACTTAGCTTGATAACTCCAGCTTAACAAGCTCATCAGGAACATCTGAATTCCAGATGAACTTGTTAAAGGGAAAATACAACATTTGCAAACATCAAAAATAAAACTACCAAATCATTTTGAAATACCTTGCTGGACTGTTAGTGAATGACAGTGTAAAGCATCCTGTAAAATCATGGCACCTGGTATACTGTCATTTTCAACATGTTCAAGAAAAGTGTCATTTTTGTATCAATTTCCAACGCTGGTCGGCCGACCAGCGTTGGAAAACACTGGCTTTTTTTCAAATAGGCCTACTGGCCCCAATTGACCATCGCACTTGTTTGCAATCGATTACACACCTATGATTATGAACGGGTACAAGCCAGCTAGACTGGTTCCCTGACTTTACAATTCCCCATTGTATGTAAACTGCTCTGTTTCTTCTTATATGGAGTCAGGGAACCAGACTACAGGAAAATGATTGTTTTTCTTGGTTTTTATAGCATTTTCGAACCCAAAACCTCAAAAAAGTCAGTGTAACCATGGTGTAACTATATTTGCTATATATTTCCAACCCCCAATTCCATCCATTTCTGAAAATTACAGCAAAAGCAAATGATGTATATTCCCTTTAAGCTGGAGTTTAAATACTCAAGCTCAGCCATGGCTAGGCCTACAGTCATGACAGTTGTCTGGTCTGCCAGGTCTGCTGCGAGGGCGTCTCTGGACATTGCTTAGCCCCAAATGTGGCCAGTTTACTGGACTGCCTCCGTAAACATAGAGGCAGTCCAGTAAACTGGCCACATTTGGGGCTAGAACTTAGCTGGAGTTACCCAGCCCTGAGTTTTATCATTGGGTTGTCATCTAGGTGACAACCCAATGATAAAACTCAGGGCTGGGTAACTCCAGCTAGCTAGAACTTAACTAGACATTGCTGGATACATTCTTTCCATTAATTTAATATCTGTAATAAATGACCATTATTGCAAATTGGCTGCACTTACGCCTGGCAGCACACTGCAGGGATAGTTTCAGTGCATTTTCGTCGCTGTTTCCGAGTAAGTGTAGATCACAAGTGTCCATTTTTCCAAACTCCCTATTATTATTAATATACTGGAATACTGGTACTGTGGTAGTGGTACGGTGCACGTGCATGTGCAGTTGTTTGTATTAGGGCGCCCTCTATCGCGACCCTGACTGCGCGAAGGAGGAATGACCGTAACCATCAACCTCGATCCCATGATGTCGATGCGTTCACCATCAATTTAAATCTTTTAAGGCAAAAAAAAAACATGTTTAGTGTCCCCGCCTCCTTTTTTGCTTTCTTTTTTTAAACGAAAAAAATTATAAATTTCAAACAGTGACATGATTTCGGCCTGTTTGTCTGTTCCAGTGGCGTATAGCCATAATTTTTTTTTGGGGGGGGGGGGGGGGCGCTGAGGGGGCTGGAACATTTCATGGGGGGCCGTCATGTAGATCAATGATAATTTTTTTAGAAACTCAAAATCTCAGTGGGGGGGGGGGGGGCGACTGGGGGGGGGGCGACAATGTTTCACGGGGGGGGGGCTGTCGCACCCCCCCCCCCCCCCCCACCCCCGTGGCTACGCCACTGCCCGCAGTAGTCGTTACTCGCTGAGAAATTCATGAGAGATGCTAATTTTCACTGGTCGAAACAGACTATAAAAGTAATCAAAATCTTTAGGAACTATGACTGTGTCTGAATCTGAACATCCCTGAATGACTTCATTCACACACTGAACTGTCGGGTATCAGACGCGTTTTGCATGATTGATGTTCAGCAATGACGGCATACGACCTTGAACTGTGACAAGAATATTAACCAACCAGACTCGACTCCTTCAAGAATGCACTTTGTGACAAAATCTAATCCTGACCGCTCTCACTACACCACACCTCCAGTTTAAATTCCCTAGACTCTAAATTGCGGGGGAGGGGGGGGGGGGGGACCTAGTCCCCAGGGTGTCGAGCAGGACGCGCCCACCACTTGATGGGCTTTTAAAAAGAACTTTTGCATGGGAAAGACACTTTGGAAAAATCCAATCAGTTTGAATATGCTTCATGAATTTCTGAATAAACGAGCACATTTTTAACAGTATTTAATTACTTTTATTTTTTTGGTGTGGTGGTGGGGGGGGGGGAGTGGCTGGCTGGAGGGGGGTGCCAGACAGAAGATATATCAGAATGGCGCAATAAGACCGACAGCGGGCGCAATAATTTTGATTAGGGTTTCAAAAATTTCTACGCGTCCGAGTCGTTAATTTGCATAAAAAGTGCCCCCCCCCCACAATTTTTTGTAAAAAACGAGACCGTCTAGTTTAAAAATCGGTGGAATCGTGCGAATATAGCCGAGGATCATCTCCCTAGCTTTTGGGCTATTATCTAAGAGCAGATTTGATAAAATTAGGGTCCAAAAATGGGTCCTATTTGCAGGAGAAAATGTAGGGATGCCACTGGTAACTTTGGCAGTATGCAGGCTCAGCATTACCGGCAGGCTTCAAGCATTACGGACACACTCTCGCAAAATGTGGTCCGGCAGCTTTCTATACAAAAACCTCGTTGGCTCGGGGTTTTGTACGTAAACCTTATCAGTCAGCCGATCACGCTCAATTGACTTCGGCCAAATCGCAGTCCCATCATAAGAAATAAGTTAACAATGTTATCCGGACCATTTTTTTCCGAGAGTGTGTCTGTAATGTATCTGCTCTCTCACCCTGGTATTGGATCATTTGCATGTGCAAGATTTTTGAACACGCATGCAAATGAGGAATAGTCTGGTGCGTGCCGGTGCGTTACATTTGCGTTTGCTTTTTTTATGCAGTGTCTGGGGTAAAAACAGAATCAATTCGTCGCAGCGCGAGCATGGCGTGAGTTACGAAAACACGATTTTATTTTAATTAAACTGTTCCGATCTTAACAAAACAACATGCAGTATCACATGTCATATTAATATTAACAAATTAGGAAGGAAATTAATGTTTGTGAGAAGGCGTGGACGAATGATCGCGAACACGTACTGCACGTTGTGAATAACACACCAAGTACACGATATAAATACATTTCTGGCCAATTGCGGTATCGAATCAGGATACAGGAAGAAAGTTTCCTGTCCAGGGCTTACTATTGGAAACGAGGTTGAGGGAGGGGAACGCTCTACGCAGTGCTAGTGGTGGACTTGCCCTCCCCCCTCCCCCCCCCCCCCCCCCCTTTGAACATTCATCTACAAAAAATCTCGTGAACGTGATGTCGTGATGTCAGAATTCGATGTACACCTAATAATGTTTCTAACAACTTCCATTTTTCCCAACGCAAAAAGATCGTCGCCATTGCATGCATCGTAAAAGCATAGAGCAAGGAACGCAAACATGGTATGACCTTGTGACCCCATACGCGCCGCCCGCCCACGGATTGGTCGAGCTTGAGATGGCCTGCTTAATATTCATAAGTCATTTTATCGCACGTTCGCACGTGCTGTTCAGGCCGTTGGCCTCATGGTTCAGTGGCCTACTAGACTTGAACTCAAGTCTGTAATGAGTGGTTTTAATCGCGTCTGCCGCGCGCGACTCAACTGCCAAGCTCTGTGCCGGGGGTACGACGTGTGCTGCATTACAGACTGAAACTCGTTGTCAGTTTGTGCACAGGCAACGAGACTTGCTACCAAAATTGGACGGAGCAGTCTGATTGGGTAAGAATCAAGAAAATATGAATATTCAACAGGCATCTCTTAGCCGATGCGTTTTGGCTTGCACGACGACACACACAAGTTTACATACGTACGTATATATACACTAAGACTACACTAACATGCCGCGATAATCGGGTGTTTACGTACGAAAGCCCACTAGCGCCACTGCAAGTATATATGTTGCGGATTATTTAATTCGTTATTACGGATTATTAATTCGTTATTACGGATTACTAATTCGTTATAACGGATTATTAATTCGTTATTACGTATTATTTAATTCGTTATTACGGATTACTAATTCGTTATAACGGATTATTTATTCCGTTATTACGGATTATTAATTCGTTATTACGGATTACTAATTCGTTATAACGGATTATTAATTCGTTATTACGGATTATTTAATTCGTTATTACGGATTACTAATTCGTTATAACGGATTATTTAATTCGTTATTACGGATTATTAATTCGTTATTACGGATTACTAATTCGTTATAACGCATTATTAATTCGTTATTACAGATAATTTAATTCGTTATTACGGATTACTAATTCGTTATAACGGATTATTAATTCGTTATTACGGATTATTTAATTCGTTATTACGGATTACTAATTCGTTATAACGGATTATTTAATTCGTTATTACGGATTATTAATTCGTTATTACGGATTACTAATTCGTTATAACGCATTATTAATTCGTTATTACAGATAATTTAATTCGTTATTACGGATTACTAATTCGTTATTATGGATTATTTAATTCGTTATTACGGATTACTAATTCGTTATAACGGATTATTTAATTCGTTATTACGGATTATTAATTCGTAATACTCATACGTTAATACTCATACGTTCTGAGTCATTACTCGGCAACGAATTAATAATCCGTAATAACGAATTAGTAATCCGTAATAACGAATTAAATAATCCGTAATAACGAATTAAATAATCCGTAATAACGAATTAAATAATCCGTAATAACGAATTAATAATCCGTAATAACGAATTAGTAATCCGTTATAACGAATTAATAATCCGTAATAACGAATTAAATAATCCGTAATAACGAATTAATAATCCGTAATAACGAAGTAATAATCCGTAATAACGAATTAGTAATCCGTAATAACGAATTAATAATCCGTAATAACGAATTAATAATCCGTATAATAACGAATTAAATAATCCGTAATAACGAATTAATAATCCGTTATAACGAATTAATAATCCGTAATAACGAATTACATAATCTGTAACATATATACATGCAGTGGTGCTAATGGGCTTTCGTACGTAAACACCCGATTATCGCGGCATGTTAGTGTAGTCTTCACCAAACATTCTCAATCGCTTACATCAAATTTCTTCGGATTTCCTATCGCCCAACGTTAAAATGGAGGTGTTGGAAGCTAGCGCCGAAAGGTATCAGGTTCCATTGGAGTAATTGCAGAATACCCCGCCACTCGGAAATACACCCCTAAATTCTCTGGCTACGAGGTTGGAATCACTAGAAAAGAAACAATTCAAGTCCATGCCAGCTACGCGGATACTGAGTGGGGGTCCATTATTTGAGAACGAAGCAACACAAAAGGAATGGGAGTTGCTGAAAAAATTCTAAGTCCAAACCAACTACCCTGTTGGCGGCTACGCGGTTACGAAGTGGGAGTGCAATGGCGCATTGACCATGGGTTGCGAAAATACCAGCTAGCCCCTTTCTGTATCGACTTCATAAGGGAAGGACTATATCACGTAATGTAGGCATACTTTCTTCACTCACGAAGCCTTTCAAGCTTGAGTAGAATACCACCACAATATAATTACACATGATTCAACTAATTAAACCAACATGATGAACTAGGGCCATTGATCAGTGCATAGCGGTTCTGTAACCTTAAAAATAGGCACAAACCGCGAACGAGTACGAGTTCGTTTTCAGGGTGACACATAAAGGTGGAATATAACCACATAAAGGTAATATGAAATTTCAGGCAAAACTATGTCAAAGTTAGCCGAAAATCGGCTAAAACGGTCACTATGCAGGGTGATCAGTTAAAGGGAATGTACATCATTGGCTTTTGCTGTAATTTTCAGAAATGAACTATTTGGGGGGTTAGTATAATAGATCAAATATTGTTACACTGACATGTTTGAAGTTTTGTGTTCGAAAATGCTGAAAAAACCAAGAAAACAAAAATACTACTAAGCCTTACCATTTCTTTTGGCCGTTATTTAAGAATCGAATGTACACCTAAAAACTATCGGCCCTCGCTTTTGTTGATATAAAATATGATTTTGTTTGACAGGCCGTAATAACACTTTATATTTGTCAAAAGCAGTTATTTTTGGTATCAAAATAAAGCACACGATTTCAACTTTTCACTTATTTAGCCATCTTGGCCAAACAGTGCGCACGCACGTATCCAGGTACTTTTGTGTTTTTCTGTAGTCTCGAATACATCTCGTAAAAACTCGCGTACGCTTTTGGGCTATGTGTGCGTGACCTCAGGACAAGAAACTGAGGTCAAACAGGGCTGTGTGCGGGACATGACGTCGACACGGGGCTTTGTTATCTCTATGACCAAGGTCATATAGCACCCGATTTCCAACCTCGTGCCCCGAGGTGCAGGCTGGCCGACTGCGCGCTTTGTCTGGTTTACAGGGGCCGGGTCATTTTGACCTCAAAGGATTTGATGATGCAAGACGCGTCTGATACCCGACAGTTCAGTGTTCAGGGATGTTCAGACACAGTCATAGTTCCGAAAGATTTTGATTACTTTCATAGTCTGTTTCGACCAGTGAAAATTAGCATCTCTCATGAATTTCTCAGCGAGTAACGACTACTGCGGGGATGGCAGATTCCTCCAACATTCCGTCATCATGCAACACATTGACAAACTGGAGTTGAGACCAGGAGACACGGTACTGGACGTGGGATGCGGTACTGGGGAAGAAACCAAGTCAATGGCAGGGAAAGTCAAGAGTGTAACAGGTAAGATTCAGTTCCATTCCTCGGCTTCTGCGTCGCCAGCTGCTCCAGGGTAGCCCAATAAATGTGGCCAATTTACTGGACTACCTCCGTAAACAAGGGCCACACTTCCACATGTACACAAACGTGTCGAACTTTGTCAAATTTTGATTTTCACAATGTCAGAGATGAAACTTTTTCGATTTTAATCGGAAATCCGACTTTTTGAATTTTCTAACGAAATTTTCAATTTTCTTACAATGTGTCCCACAAAATTTGATTTTGTAACGATTTTTTCACAAAATGTCATTTTATTTCAATCATAATTTCGAAGAAAAGTTGATGGAAATGGCACGTTAAAGTCATCGCGAACGTAGTTTTTAATCTCTTTCACCAGTCGTTATTGGAGTGTTTCAACGGTAGAAACACAGGCCATAACGCTGATCGGACATATAGAAACGTATTATAGTTTTGTTTGTACAAGTGTATTGTACATGTACATGCATGTACTGTACATGTGTGTAACTGCAGCGCGGCCCAGATTTCGGACACGTATTTTTGTTCGACGTTTCCGATTTTTTTGCCATATGCCAGTTTCATCTCCGTCACATTTAGGCTTAGTTGGTAGGGTTTTTTTTGCTTTAGAAGCATACTCACCCTCTTTATAGGCTAATCAGAAAGTGCTGCCATTTTCAGATGTCTATTTTTCGTGAAATTTCCAGATTCATTTGCACATGTTTGTCGAAATTTCAACATGAAATTTCACAAAAATTAGACATCTGAAAAATGCAGCACTTTCTGATTAGCCTATAAAGAGGGTGAGTATGCTTCTAAAGCCAAAAAAAACCTACAAACTAAGCCTAAATGTGTAAATCAAAATTTGACAAAGTTCGACACGTTTTTGTTCATGTGGAAGTGTGGCCTTTGTCAGGGGCGACAATCGCTTCTCAAAAGTGGGGGGGGGGGGCATACCTTGATCAGAACTGATGGCAGCGCGAAGCGCGAAGCCCTTACGGCGTGGGGTTCGGGGCTCGCTTAAGGGCCCCCCAAAAAATGGATTCTAGATGCTCTGTGGTGTGATCTGAAGCAATTTCTTACCACTTTTCTCCATGCCTTAACTAATATTTTCGTAGCAAAAGATAATTATTTGAACATCGTTGTCGAGGTTCAGTAGAGTCATTGAATCGGCTACCGGTATTCTGAGCTATAGGCGTGGGGTTCGGGGCCCGCTTAAGGGCCCCGAAAACAAAAATGGATTCTCGATGCTCTGTGGTGTGATCTGGGGCAATTTCTTACCACTTTAACCAATAATTTTCTTAGCAAAAAATAATAAATTAAACATAATTTTCGAGGTTTTCTCAGCTAAAGGCATAAGATAATTATTTGAACATCGTTTTCGAGGTTGGAGTCATTGAATCAGCTACCAGAATTCTGAGCTACAGGCGTGGGGTTCGGTGCCCGCTTAATGGCCCCGGAAAAAAATGGAGTCTAAATGCTCTGTGGTGCTATCTGAGGCAAAAAATTATTTCTGACCACTTTAACCAATATTTTCTAAGCAAAAGATGCTTTGAAGTACATAATAGGGCCCTGTAAATGAGACACGAGTTCAAAAATCTGGGGGGACATTTGATATTGTGTCCCCCACCCTTCAAAAAGTGTGTGTGTGTGGGGGGGTTCCCCCCCCCCCAGGATTGACGCCCATGGCCTTTGTTTACGGAGGCAGTCCAGTAAATTGGCCACATTTATGGGGCTACTCCAGGGAGGAGGTGTTGACGCACCTATTTTTCCGGCTATCGTAGGTGGATTTTTTTGTGAGTTTGTTTTCTCGAGAAACTATATGCGAGCAGCTATATAGCCCATAAAGCCTCCTATGATATGCACGAAATGCCGACTTTTTAGACACCCCCCTCCCCGTACGTATGGCATACGCAGTGTCCCCCCCCCCCTCCCCCATTCCATAAATTGGGGGGAAAAGGAAGATATAGATGTCCTGTACATACACTGTATGTTTTCGGTGTGGGTATTCTTGTACAGTATAATGTACATGTACATCTATAGTTCATGTACTCAGATACATAACAGGGTTGAAGTATAGTGACTCCGTGCAGGATTGCTTTAGGAAGTATAATGTGCTCGAAGTATCCAACATCAACCACATGCAAACTGCGGTATTTATGTATAATTACCACAAAGGCAACCTTCCTGTTATTTTTAACAATTTCTTTTCAATTAGCAACCACACATATAATATTCGGTCCTCGAAACATAAATACACTCAAGTTAAATGTAAAACCACAGCTCTCCAACACAGCATTCGCTATCAAGGCTGCAAACTCTGGAACGGATTGCCATCTTTCATTTTTGAAGCGAAGTCTTTAACAGAGTTTTCAAAACATTGTATAGAAACTACTTGCAAGGAAATTGATTTTGTTTATTTTGTTTATTACTACTTTACCACTCTCACAGTGTTTACATTGTACATTGTTTTATACATACATTCTTGTCTTTATTAAGTTAATGGAACATCTTAGGTTGGGGTGGGGTAGTTGGGTGTAACGGGAACACTTGGGATTTTCTCTCGGGGGGGGGGGGTTAAAAGGGAGTGTTTCATAAGTCCTTGGACTTCTTACAACTTCCTTATAACTTCTCTGCTTTTTATTTATCTTTGTTACTTATCTTTGTCATTTACTTTTATGTTTTGTTTATCTATTAAGTTACGTACTTAAATATGTTTTCATTATGAAGTTATGAAATAAACTAGATTGATTGAGTGAATGTACATGTACATTTTGTTGTTGTACACCACACAGCATTACGAATGCGTAGTACGCTTGCTGGCTGATTGTTGAAAGAGTCTTTTATTTATTAACGTCACGGTTTGCACATTTTTTCTCCAGCAGTGATCGTCAATGGATCACGATTATAAGGGAAAGTTACGTTTATTCATAAGAAAAGAACAACGTCACACCATTGTTGTTACTTAATGGATATTTAGTGCAATGAACTATATGGGCTCGCCAATTTTTCACCGAATATTTTTGTTCTCAAAGTTTATCGTTGGGATATAGTTTAAGGGAAAACAAGACTCCGACAACCCAAGTGTCTTTCACCATAGAGCAAGGAACTTGCTCTATGCTTCCACAAAGTGTGATAAATATTCATGTCAGAATCGGAGGGAGTGCAAGTGGAAAGAATTTATAATGGGGGCGTGTGTAAAATTGAAAAATCACCGCTCGTGGGAAAAAACCAGGGGGGGTGGGGCCGGATATTATTCGATGCTTGGGGGCGCTGTTCAAATAAAACTATAATACGTTTCTATGTACAAAATAACCGCATTTTAGGGCCAGTTCCGATGGTTGCCGGTTTTTGTTTGGGGGGGGGGGCAATTCCCCCATGCGGCCATTCCCCATGCCCCCCCCCCCCCCCGCCCTCCCCCGTCTTCCGGTGGCGCCGCCACTTGTGATTAGAACATTAATAGAGTTTGTAGTTTTAAATACGGCGTGTCCTGTCTCACCATTCTACCGGTCTTTTAAACACGTCTAAAAGACGTGTACACTATCCTCCAGATAAACTTCGCACAAAATACCGATCGTTCCACAGGAGCTCGCATTTGGGCATCAACAGCAATTTGAACCTACACCAAAAACCCACTTATACTATCATGTCCCATGGCGATTTCCCATGGGATCGCCCGATGGCAATTCCCCATGGTGCTATGTGGGGTTTTTGATCCCATGTACCACATGGGATTTTTCCCATAGGACTTTTCCCATGGAATTAACCCTATGTATCACATTGGATTTTTCCCATGGAATTAACCCCATGTACCACATGGAACTTTTCCCAAGGAATTTTCACCATGAGGTTTTTCCCATGGCTGGTTTCAGAATATATACCTTAATTTATTTCCCCAGTACCTTTCCATAGCAATATCAAATATTTGCGTTATGTTTTTACCCGATGTCAATTATATTCACACGTGAGGAGTGGCCATCTTGGGACTCGGAGGGTGATTGTCCCACGTACGGCAGCTAGGGGAGTGTCGAAGCTCTCTATGACTAAAAAAATATATATCCGGCTTCAATACCACTTAAAAGTTGTACCATAAAATCACAGTATCTTCATAATTTTTGATAATAAATTGTTTTCAATAATAATAAATGAATTAAAATTATCCACATTTTTTTTTAAGTGCCAAATCTTTACATAAAATAGACTGCATTTTTCATTTGACTTAACCCTAAAGGGGCCGGGGGGCGGAATCCCCCCCCCCTCGCCTTTTTCCGCGATAGCCTTTAAAAAAAAAAATTCGCGACCCGAGCTGTTATGACTTTTTAGCCTCGAGCTTTGCGCATCTTTTGACACCAAAAATATAAAAATCGGTGGTGCCATGGTGTTACAATAGCTGTCCATGGTGTTCCCATTGGACACCATGGCGTTACTTTGACTATACATGGCGTTCAGATGGGCCACCATGGTGTTTTAAAAGACCACCACGGTATTTAAAGAGACCCACCATGAGACCACATGGTGGTGCCAAGGGTTAACAGTAGCTGCTCATGGTGTTCCCATTGGGCACCATGGCGTTTCTTTAGCTGCCCATGGTGTTCCCATGCGACACCATTGGACACCATGGTGTTTTAAGAGATCGCCATGGTGTTTTAAGAGACCACCGTGTGTATCCCTTTGATTCCCATGGGTTCCCCATGGGGTCCCATGGGGATCCCATGGCTTCGCCATGGGACATTTTTGTAAGGGCAATCAGAGTGCCTTAACTCTGTTCCCCTTCCCTTTAGGTATTGACGTTTCAGAGGAAATGATAGCCGTGGCCGTTAAGACCAACTCGGCACCAAACGTAGCATACAGTCAATGGGACGCCCGAGCCGTGGGGGACAACCCGGACTGGCGAGAGAGATTCGACAAAGCTGTCTGTTTCTTCGTTCTTCACTGGTTTCCCGAGCAGACCCAAGCGCTCCGTAGCATCTCGGCGTGTCTGAAGCCGGGCGGGCAGGCACTATTTATCATCGACAACCGCGATGACCTCCTCATGCTGCACCAAGCGACTTCCTTCTTGAAAAGTCACGAGAAGTGGGGTGCTTTTGTCCAGGTATAATTAGACAATTATCCTTCCGAATGCACTTGGATCGAGCTTTTTGGGGATTAGTTTTGTTGTTTGGTTTGCGTATAGATCGAGATGCATTCATAATACGGGTCGAATCTCAGTCCAATGAAAATTGTTAACTATACAGTGTCGCTGATTTCGTCTTAACATGCATAGAACAGCATAACCAACAGCATAGAAACAAGTACCAAGTGGTAGAACCCACGGCGGTCGGGTCATGAAGACGGCTTTCGGCACCGTCCACGCACTCGGGCCGGTGTAGCATGAATTTAGGTTTTATGAAATACGGACTCATTGGTGGTATTGCGCATGCTCATGCATAGATAATAGGAGAGGGACCGGTCACGTGAGAGGGTTTAACCAATAAAAGGGAAAAAGAGTCCGATTTTCATACGAGTCCGATTTTCATGTGACAGGGGCCGTACCGGTACGTACCTGGAGAGTACAGAAAACGAAAACGAGTGTGGTGTGATATGAGGCAATTTCTGACCACTTTAACCAATTTTTTTCCAGGTGTACTCATTGCCTGCCTTTATTGCGACGTCACTTAAAAAAAAAACCAAAACAGGGGTTCGTTTGGGGGCGAGGGGCATGGCCCTCCGCCCCCCCCCCCCCCCCCCGTATCCGCCCTTGCAACCAACCAACCAACCAACCACCCACCAACCAACATAAGCAGCTCAAGCCCACGGCGTGTTTCACACCGTCGTGAGAAAAATTGAAAAGCGGATGTTAGTGTTCGCTCGTACCCCCGCCCTACAAACAGGACGCTGGGATACTCTAATGAATTCACGCTCTGATTGGTTGGGCGTGACCTGTGACCTGCGCGCATGCACGATCATGACTCTGCAAGGTTTTAAACGGTCGTTAAGACCGAGTCACTACTCTTTTATTCCAGTTTAGAGGGGTTTTTGTTGAAAAGCGAAATAATGTAGGAAATTCTGTAAAACTTATCTTTGTTGTAAATTTACAAATCCCGTCACTTGCTCAGGCTCCGTTTCGAATCACGAACGGTCGGATTGCATTATACGACGCTCAAAATTGTGTCCACATGGTCCGCAATGAAACAGAAATCACATCCGGTATGGAACGTGTGCAGTATGGGACGTTTTCGGATAGCATTTGCGCACACTGTTGTCTAACTGCGGTCTTGAACAGCTGCAGCCAGATGCTTTATACATAGGTCATAGATCACTTCATTCACAAGATTTTGCGAAGCTCATCAGCGTATCCCATGCGTCCTGTTTGCAGGGCGGGAGGTACTAACGAAATGTTAGGTTGGTGGCTCTGTTTCCTGTTGCGGCTACTAGATGGTGGTCTGGCCGCTTGTGTCTTCCCCGGGGTGGTACTTGGGGTATGAGGGGTCCCATATGTGTGTGACAGTTCATACCCTCCCTCATCTCTAATAAGAGTTGATCGTCGTCTCCTTATCCCTAGACTTTCCCGCCAAATATCCTACATCGGGGAAACGGGAAGAAAATTTGGCACAAGGTTCGAAGAACATAAGACCGAAGTAGAAAAGCTAACATCTGGAACCATGACGAGGGCGAGAAAAACATCAACAGTAGGGAAAAATACAAAATCGGCCATAACAGAACACGCTAGAGACAACAATCATGTGATGAATTGGGCAGATAGCGAAATCTTGCACAGGCTTGAGGGCGACAAATTTAGACATTTGATACGGGGAAGTCTATGGATAAGGAGACGACGATCAACTCTTATTAGAGATGAGGGAGGGTATGAACTGTCACACATATGGGACCCCCTCATACCCCAAGTACCACCCCGGGGGAGGACACAAGCGGCCAGACCACCACTTAGTGGCCGCAACAGGAAACAGCGCCACCAGCCGACTGGTGGTGCTTCGTTCTGAGGATGACTAGTGAAACTAGTCGAAACGTAAACGAAACTACGTAAGTAATTGGCTGTGTTTATAGAAAATTCATTTACAAAACTAAATCAATGTTAACTAAAGAGGTGTAAAAATCACATGCCGGCCTTTTTGACATGGACAGAACGGTAACAGAGGTATTGCCGTGGCTTTTGTCTTTCAGGACTACAAGTCAACAATGTTCGTGTGGAACCTATCGGTTCAAGAAACGCAGAAAGTCTTCAAAACGTGTGGCTGGGCCGAGGCTAAGTGTAAAGTGCGGAGACACGAGCTGGTCATGTCTGAAATTCAGTTAAAATGTAAGCTTTTGCAAACAAAATGGATTGCTTTCGAACCACACGTATGATTAAAAGAGTGCAATCAACAATTTCCTTTTAATACCAGTACCAGTGGACGAAGTCGAAGAGGCTATAGCAGTATCAACGATATCAACCGAGGACGTTTTAGCCCAGACTTTCAAAAGGGCCTTATTTTTGTCTCGCCTGAACTTTGTTCAGGAAAGAGACTATGCAATCACTTTGTCTGTCCGTGTGTGTGTGTGTGTGCGTTTGTTTATGGTGTAAATCGAGGACACACACGTGCAACATCATCGATGAATCGAGGGCAGAAACCGAATCGAGGACTCCTCGGTTGGAAAACGTGTACAAAACCAATGAGAGCTGTTGCGAAAAAAATAAAGTACAAACACAGGAAAAGGGAAGAGGAACAAAAGAAAATCCTGGATTTACACCATCATCCGTCCGCCATACGTCCGCGATTGGGGTCGTGTACAAAACCTATGGGAGTCTTCCTAAAAAGTTAGAGTACAAACAAAAGAGGGACAATAGGACGTCCACGATCGACGGTGAACACGTTTGTGTGCGTGAGTTTGTCTTACAGTCACTATGAGGACTTGTGAACAAAAGATGTCCACATAATGCAGGTTGTGTTGACGTTATGTGGACTAAGCCGTGTCCACATAAAGTTTTGCCCTCTCTGGAAAACAGGTTTAGAGGCAGTTTTGGGGTTAGGTTTATCCGTGACAAAATGAAGAGAAACACTAAAGGGAGTCATAGAAAAAAAATTGTGGTTGAAAGAGTTTTCATAGTTTAAGTAAAGTTATTTTTTTTTACCGAATTTTCTTAACTACACGAAAACAAAGGAATGTCCACATAGCGTATGTAAAACAAAGGTGTGGGTGTGCGTGTGTGCATGTATGTATGTAGTATATAATGTATGTGGTATTTTGGTTAAAGTTTCGTAAAATTGGTCTCATTTCAAAACTTGACAACCTTCATATGATACTGATGTCAAAGGTCACATACCAAGGTGAAAGGTCACATACCAAGGTGAAAGGTCATATGAGGTCATATTGTTTAATTGGCTGAACATGTAAAATTGGTCTCATTTCAAAAGTTAAAGTCCAATTGGAACCAAACTTGGGTCGTAGATGCAACATGGCAACTTTCATACAATAATGAAAAAAGGTCACATACCAAGGTGAAAGGTCATATGAGGTCAAGTTGTATAATTGGCTGAACATGTAAAATTGGTCTTATTTCAAAAGTTAAAGTCCAATTGCAACCAAACTTAGGTCATAGATGCAACATGGGAACCTTCAAATGATAATGATGTCAAAGGTCAATCATCAAGGTCAAAGGTAACTCTTTACAGATAATCGCGAAAGCAGGCGAGACACATGGTTCGAGAACCATCTTGGGTTGTTTTTTTTAGGATTGAGACACTGTAACGACACAGTTATGGAGGTAAAAACAAACGGAATTGAAGTATAAAACGCATGTTGTTAAAGTTTGCCATTATTTAAAACTTACCTTACTTTAATTAACACTTCGTTTGTTTATTAATTTGTAGGCCATATCCCATAAGTTGCGCAGTTTCAGCGCCCTCAATCGCAAAAAAGATGCCTTTTCTCTGCAAAGTGTTTCAGAAAATTGGCGTTTATCTTAAATGTTGCTGGGATTTTTCTTTCAATATAGCATAATTGTTTAATGAACTGGTTTGAGAATGAAGATAAAAAGGAACTGGTTAATTCACTGCCCATAATTAAAGGAACATAGTGGGACCGTAAAATATTTTACTCATTAATTCTTCACCTTGAAGGCTAAGATCGGTGGGTTTTTTTTATCTCCTTATTGACTATCGTGCACACGCTTGTGCACGCGTAAATCTCCTGGATTTTTCTTCTCTCTTTTCAACAGTGGTATTGAAGACATGTCTCGGAGAAACCCCGTTGATACCAACGGCAGCGCTGGAGGATTATTTGCAAGACCTGTGGCAGTGGGCGTTGGATCGCTATGAGGATAAGTCTCAGCCTGGAGATGTGTGCATTCCTGCTGAATTTATGGTCGTACACGCTTGGAAATAAGACAAATTTCATGTGACACTGGCAAAGTAGACCAGCCAGCCGGTTGTTTTATCCACCGTTTACGACCGGCCACGTGACGGGCTCCCGACCAACAGGAATAGGAACTGCCTTAGGTATTTATGAATTGTACCTGGTCTCTCCATGCCACATTGGTGACTGCTGACTGTTGGGGTTTTTTTCATGTAAACGTAATAAACTAGCACAATACGTGGTGATAATGGCAAAAAAGTGGCAATCCTAGTATATTCAAATATCGATCCTACGATGTCTGTCTGTGTGTCACGGAAGCTGCGGTCACACAACTGGAAATGGCGGTCGCACAACCGGAAGTTTTAGGTCACACATGATGTCTGATGTAAAAATTCATCTTGAGTATGCTAGGCGCTACACATGTGAGGTCTGATGTAAGAGATACATCCACAACGAAGTGCCGACATGGTATTTATACGGACCCCCATTTGACCACCTTTGAAATCACAGTTTGGGACGTGGAAAAGAAAAATTATTCCTGTTTTGCCAAGTTCTTTCTTTCAGACTTTCAATACTTAAGTATTACAACATTATCTCTATGAAAACACTCCAAAACATATCGCTATTACGCAAAATATAACATTTGATGAATATTGTAGTTTTGTAATTCTTTTAGTGTAATGTATTTTTTTTTTTTGGTTTTTTTTTTTTTTGGTCTTTTGGGGTTGCATTTTTAACTCTTTTCTGCTGTATAAGGTCGGTCTTTTTATACATCACGTGTTGTCAGGTTTTTCCCCCTCCATAACATTCATATATAAGCATATTTGTGGGTTTTGAACATGTAAATTAATGCTTCTGGTAATTAGCTTTGGGAGGGTTCATAATGTGCATAAATAAGTAGATTTTTTAAGATGTCGGCCTTTTTATACATCATGTGTTGTCAGTTTTATCTTTCATTACATTCATATGCATACTTGTGGGTTTTTTAATCGGTGAATTAATATTAATGCTTCTGGTAATTGCTATGGGAGGGTCCTTATTTCTTATGCTTGATGACTTTTCAAATTAATGTGACTTATGTGAATGTGTATTTTTAATGATGATATATATATGTGTGTGGCATGGCTCTCTAACGGTTAGGAATGCATATAGGCTCGAACGTGTAACCAAAACTGCTTCTAAGGTGATTGGTATGGATGTTGGAGACCTTCGTGTCATCTTTCAGGAGGTAACACTGAAAAAACTCAAGTCAATCATGCAGGACCCCACCCACCCAATTCATCACCTGGTAACTGTGCAAAAATCTGGGAGAGTCAGGCCTCCACGCACAAATACACAACGTTTTAGAAGATCATTCTTGCCCAACTCATGCCACCTTTTTAATTCCACTTTTAAAAAGATGATTTTATCTTTTTAAATAAATCATGCTTCCACGTACAAATACACAGCGCTTTTAAAGAGATCTACTTGCCCAAGTCATACCACACTTTAATTAATTAATTATCACTTTTAAAAGATGATTTTATTATTTTAAATAAGACTGTATAATGGTGTACTCGTTTGTATTCATATTGTGTTTGAGTGTGATTGTAAGCTGTTTTAATTGTTGTGGATTTGTTCTTGTCTTTTAAACTGTTTTTAACACACGGGGTGTTGATTTTCATGTTTTTAATCATGATGGTTAATAATAAATTGAATTGAATTGAATTGAATTGTGAGGTTTATAGTCTCTTATGTATGCTGGGACCCATGGGAGACCAGTGGATTCCACTGAATGGGCCACCCAGTTGAAATTAGAAATAAGAAATAAATAAATAATAAATAAAAAGGTCGCAAAACTGTACGTCGATCGTACGATATTAAGAAACATGACTGTATGTTAAATGAGGGCGCACTGTCAGCAACGTTGATTAGGCCCGTAATCGGGGCACCAAGAAATTTGAGGGGAAAAATTGCCTCAACACAACAAACGTACTTTTGATTTTCTGAGGTCACGCAAGGTACGCTGGTACTCTGAGTCATGCACGTGCAAAATGACAGGAGCCGTCCGGGTACCCATATAATCGCGTGCGCCGGGATATATTTCGAGTGCTTTACGGCGCGCCTCAACGGCGAAAGCCATGGTCTATTACATTTGAGCAGATTCGCGGATTAATTATGCCATAGCAAGTCAACCGTGTCTTAATTAACCTTGACCTCTAGATTTTGACCAATCAGCGGGCGCTTTCTATATCGGGTCTTCGGTCATTCATCCGTTGCGCTTCATAGACATGGAGAAAAAAACATGTGTCACGCGCTCTGTATCATGTTACGCGATATGCGATATCATTATAAAATACACCTCGTTTTCACGGGCCTCGCTGTCAACTGAAGACGTGCAAAAGTCACCTGCATTTTTGACAAAGCATGAGGTGTATTCACTATAGTCTTTGTTTTGGTTCTGTCTTTCAGGACTATCCCCACACTTTGGGGACCTATCGGTTCAAGAAACGCGGAAAGTCTTCAAAGCGTGTGGCTGGGCCGAGGCGCAGTGTGAAGTACGGAGGCACGAACTGGTCCTGTCCGAAATTCAGTTAAAATGCAAGATTTAGCAATATAAATAAGGGAATAAATATATGCTTGGTCGGTTTTAAACACCATGTTTAAGACCGGTTGGAGTCTGGATGCTGATAATGTGCACACACGTGCGCATGCCTAAATCTCCTGATTTTGTTCTTCTATTCAACAGTGTTTTTGAAGACATGTCTTGGAGAAACATCGTTATTACCAGCGTCAGCGCTGGAGGATTATTTGCAAGACTTGTGGCAGTTGGCGTTGGATCGCTGTGGGAGTAAGTCTCTGCCCAGACATGTCCGCATCAATTTTGAATTTATGGTCGTGCACGCTTGGAAATAACACGCTTTCAAGTCTTTTTTAAATATATTTATTGCCATCTTTTTTTCAGGCTAAGTCAAGTCTTTCCTCGTGGTTGTAAAAAAAAAAATGGGGAAAAAAAGTATGCTTACTAAATTTTTTAATGGTTTTAAAAATGAACTTGTACAGGGTGAGGCAAAACAATGTCCCTTTAGTCGGGGGTCTTAGGGATATTTGGGTTCAGATTGTTCCAAAAGCACCAAATTTGGCACAGATGTCGTCCATACCATACTATTTCGATTTTGTCTTTCTAGACCAGTGAAAAGCATCCGACATGAATTTCGGCGAGTAACGACTTCTGCGGGGATGGCACTGGCAGATTTCCCCAACATTCCGTCATCATGCAACACATCAACTAGCCTTTAGTCAAGTCCCACGCGCTTACCCGGACACGTGACGCACCCCGGATGCTGACACGTAAACAGACTAGCACGAGCGGCGAAGCCGTGAGGGCCTTTACCTTCTCGTGGAGAACACTTATGTTTTTCTTTACATTTGTCTACCGATTTGGTAGACATGCATAATGCATTACCCGTTGTGAATTGACCAATTCAAATGCAGAATTACTAACGTAAATAAGCCGTCGTCTGGCGCCAGACAGCACGCGCGCCATGGCGCGCATACTGTTGCTGGTAACCGCAAACCACCGTTAGATGATTGGTTTATATTGCTTGATTTATATTACGTGAATAAATGAATAAGTGATTAGTTCCACGAGGTAGTAAGGGCCCTCTCGGCTTCGCCGCTCGTTTTAGTCTTTTTACGTGCCAGCATCCTGGGTGCGTTACGTGTCCGGGTGGTCCAGGTATAGGCGCGTGGGACTTGACTAAAGGCTACACATTGACTAGTCTGAGTATCACCCGTTATCCACGGAGCCAACTCCTGTATAACGTCTGATATGTCTAGACATGCAGATTTATGCAAGCCGCGCGCCAGCCAATCGGAGTCGACTTTACTAAATTATGACCGTCATTTCATTCCCAATTAAATCAGGACTTAAACTGTGATTGATCAATTCGAATGCAGTGTTTTGTAATACAACAACAGCCGGGCGCGCATTCGCGTAACATGATACAGAGCGCCGTCACCGCCGTGACACAGTTTCTTATCCATGTCTATGACGCGCAACTGGTGAATGACCGAAGACCCGAAATAGAAAGAGCCCGCTGATTGGTCAAAATCTAGGAGGTCAAGAGGCGGGGTCTTGCATAATTAATCAGCAAATCTGCTCACACATTATTTTCGCCATGGTCTATTACATAGACTACACATCGACGAACTGGAGTTCAACTTCAGACCGGAAGACACGGTACTGGGAGTGGGATGCGGTACAGGGAACGAAACCAAGTCAATGGCAGGGAAAGTCAAGAGTGTAACAGGTCTTTCAAATTCGATTTCATTGTCTAATTGTTAAGAAGCAGAAAATTAGTTAAAAGGTTTACTAGCTAAAGTTTAACTTATGCTGCCCATTTTTTTGTGGCCACTGCCACTGTGTTTAGTTTAGTAGCATAAGGGATTTTAACCCCCCGATATTATGTAAAGACTGCCCTTTTCCATTTAAATGCCCTTTTTTCGCCATCACTCCCCCCCCCCCCCCCCCCAATATTTGTAAAGAGTGTCCTACTTTTGTTAACAAATGCCCTTTTTTCTGAACAAGTGCCCTTTAAAAAAAAAAAGCCGTACCTTTTTTGTGCCATCTACCGTAACGGGTGCCTTTTTTAACGTCGCGCATGTATCGCCCTGAAAAGCTGGAAACATGGGCGTCGCCAGGATTTTCTAAAGGGGGGCAAAACATATTTTCTAAAAAAATTCTGTTTTTCTCAACATATTCTCGATTTATCAGTTTTGGAGGGGGTAGAGGCATTTTGCCCCCCCCCCCCCCACCCATTAAATTTACACCAATATGACTTCTTGCCTCTTTGTCTTTTTTATTCTCCCTTGTTTTTTTTGTTTGTTTGTTGTTTTTTTTTTGGTTTTTCCGGGGGGGGGGGGAATGTTGCAACCTGACGCCACTTTTTTATTCATATATCATCTCAATGAAGGTCATTCATTTCAAAAAGATGATAAGACATGAATCTGGGACTGAGAAATATTTCCATTTTTGTTAGTAAAAAAATGGCTTGACTCTCCATAGACTTTGTACACAATCGTGGAGTGGCGTCAGGTTGCAACATTTTTCCGAATTCCCAGGCTGCATCCGAGTCAATAATGTCTAGAGCACGTCCACACCCAGTGAAAATACGCGGGGACGCGCTGACAATAATTCGTAGCCGTAGCTAGCTCCGTGCATAGAGCTACATAGGGTTTGTAGCTCTATGTAATGTACATAGGGAGCTGTTATCTCTATGTCCAAGGTCATCTGTCCGGACAACCGGGTGGATATATGAGACAACCGGGGTGATGGCATGGTCGTCCTTTTATCCCTTTTTCTAAAGATTTCACATCCGAGGCGATGTTTTTCTATAGGGGTGAGGGGTGATGTCCATGAAAGAAAATCATTCCACATGTGGGGTATTGTCAGGGCGGCTGCACGCTTTTGGCTGGTTTACATGGGGTCCTTTTGACCACAAAGGATTTGATGATGCAAAACATATGGAGAACTAGGGAGCATTTGCTCACTCGCCACTAGTGCACTCAGCTCTGTTTACGCGGGAAGACTGGCTCATGTCTAGGCGCTCTGAGCAAACTTTCGTTAATATGCGGAAAGTGTGTCGGTTAAACTTACTCCCTCGCATCGCATCACAAAATATAGATTATCCTCTTTCACATGAATATAGTTTGTTCATGATTAAAGGCGAATGTGCACTTTACCATTGAAAAACGGGCAACTCAGTGAAAATTTCGCGATTCCTATGGAGGTCACGGCGCATTTCCCCGATTGTTGAGGGTGCTGGTGTACTTCTTCGAACGGCACACGTTTGAACCCGGTCGCATAAAAGGCCAAGTTCGGGCAAGGACCATTAATAGTCGACTAGTGGTTGATTTGTGACGTACCTTACGCCTGCGCACTGATAGCTACGTGCGAACGCCTCTAGTCAAACGCTGGTCAAAATGTCATCGCAAAACTTCTGGATCCTGGCTCTCTGCTAGCGTTATGAATGCGTGCGGCTTTTGGTTACCAGCGAAGCAACCAACCCCAGTAGGCTGGTTCCAAATAGTCGACTAGTGTAGTCAACCACCGTCGACTAGACAGAGTTCGGGCAAACGTTTGTTAACCATTGGTCAACTATAGTCCTTGCGCGAACTTGGCCTTCATTCACACACTGAATGGAACTTCGCACGGTTTCTGAAAGAGAACACAATAAGCTTTCCTTTCATGTTACAACCGTTTTGATTGGTTGAGAAGAAAAAGGGGCACTTTTCTCGTCAAATCAGACATCGCTTTTGTTCTGAGGATCGACCTGCTGTATATGGGGCTGTGAAGGTCGCCTGGTCAATGCACCGGCTGTTGTGTGTGACCGCAGAGCTTGCAGGGCTTTGATTTTCTGCACATATCATAGGGGTGGCAAAGTTCTCCATATGGCGTCTGATACCCGACAGTTCAGTGTGTGAATGAAGTCATTCAGGGATTTTCAGACACAGTCATAGTTCCTAAAGATTTTCATTACTTTCATAGTCTGTATCGACCAGTGAAAATTAGCATCTCTCATGAATTTCTCAGCGAGTAACGACTACTGCGGGGATGGCAGATTCGTCCAACATTCCGTCATCATGCAACACATTGACAAACTGGAGTTGAGACCAGGAGACACGGTACTGGACGTGGGATGCGGTACTGGGGAAGAAACTAAGTCAATGGCAGGGAAAGTCAAGAGTGTAACAGGTAAGATTCAGTTCCACTCCTCGGCTTCTGCATCGCCAGCTGCTCCAGGGAGGAGGTGTTGACGCACCTATTTTTCCGGCTATCGTAGGTGGATTTTTTTTGTGAGTTTGTTTTCTCGAGAAACTATATGCGAGCAGCTAGCCCATTTAAAGCCTCCTATAATATGCATGAAATGCCGACTTTTTAGACACCCCCCTCCCCGTACATATGGCATACGCAGTGCCCCCCCCCCTCCCCCATTCCATAAATTGGGGGCAAAAGGAAGATATAGATGTCCTGTACATACACTGTATGTTTTCGGTGTGGCTATTCTTGTACAGTATAATGTACATGTACATGTATAGTTCATGTACATGTACATGTACATTTTTTTGTTGTACACCACACAGCATTACGAATGCGTAGTACGCTTGCTTACGAAAGCCCGTTAGTGCCATCGAATGTATAAATTGCTCTTTTGCAAGTATATGTTTCCCGAGTCTTGTTTTTCGGATGTATATGTTTGTGGAATCTTGTTTTTCGGATGTATATGTTTAGCAAATCTTGTTTTTTGGATGTATATGTTTAGCAAGTCTTGTTTTTTGGATGTATATGTTTGGCGAATCTTGTTTTTTGCAAGTATATGTTTCCCGAGTCTTGTTTTTTTGCAAGTAAATGTTTCCCAAGTCTTGTTTTTTGCAAGTATAAATTTGGCAAATCTTGTTTTTTGCAAGTATGTTTCGCGAGTCTTGTTTTGTGAAGTCTATTTTTAGTAACAGTCTTGTTTTTTGGAAGTATATGTTTCCCGAGTCTTGTTTTTTGCAAGTATGTTTCGCGAGTCTTGTTTTTGTGAAGTCTATTTTTAGTAACAGTCTTGTTTTTTGGAAGTATATGTTTCCCGAGTCTTGTTTTTTGCAAGTATGTTTCGCGAGTCTTGTTTTTGTGAAGTCTATTTTAAGTAACAGTCTTGTTTTTTGCAAGTTTATATTTCCCGAGTCTTGTTTTTTGCAAGTATATATTTCCCGAGTCTTGTTTTTTGCAAGTATATGTTTCCCGAGTCTTGTTTTTTGCAAGTATATGTTTCCCGAGTCTTGTTTTTTGCAAGTATATATTTCCCGAGTCTTGTTTTTTGCAAGTATATGTTTCCCGAGTCTTGTTTTTTGCAAGTATATGTTTCCCAAGTCTTGTTTTTGTGAAGTCTATTTTTAGTAACAGTCTTGTTTTTTGGAAGTATATGTTTCCTGAGTCTTGTTTTTTGCAAGTATGTTTCGCGAGTCTTGTTTTTGTGAAGTCTATTTTTAGTAACAGTCTTGTTTTTTGGAAGTATATGTTTCCCGAGTCTTTTTTTTGCAAGTATGTTTCGCGAGTTTTGTTTTTGTGAAGTCTATTTTTAGTAACAGTCTTGTTTTTTGGAAGTATATGTTTCCCGAGTCTTGTTTTTTGCAAGTATATGTTTCCCGAGTCTTGTTTTTTGCAAGTATAAATTTGGCAAATTTTGTTTTTTGCAAGTATGTTTCGCGAGTCTTGTTTTTGTGAAGTCTATTTTTAGTAACAGTCTTGTTTTTTGGAAGTATATGTTTCCCGAGTCTTGTTTTTTGCAAGTATATGTTTCCCGAGTCTTGTTTTTTGCAAGTATAATTATGTTTCCCAAGTCTTGTTTTTTGCAAGTATATGTTTGGCGAGTCTTGTTTTTTGGAAGTATATGTTTCCCGAGTCTTGTTTTTTGCAAGTACATGTTTGGCAAATCTTGGTTTTATATGCCCCGCGGCGAAGCCGAAGGGGCATACTGTTTCCGCCTTGTCCTTCCGTGGGTGTGCGTGTGGGTCTGGGTGAGCTTGTCTTACATACGCAGTGTGGACTTCCGAACAAAAGACGTCCACATAATGTAGGTAGCAGCGACGAAGTGTGGACTTGCCCACGTCCACACAGTGTTTCCCCATTTCTGGAAAACAGGTTTAGAGGCATTTTTGGGTTAGGTTTATCTGTAGCAGAATGAAGAGAAACACTAAAGGGAATCATTGAAAAAAAATTGGGTTGTAAGAGTTTTCACAGTTTGAGAAAAATGAGTTTTTCCACTGGTGTTCCTTAACTACACGAAAAGAAAGGAAAGTCCACACTAGGTATGTGAAACAAGTCGGTGTGTGTGTGTGTGTGTGTGTCCGGACAATTCTTGTCAGCGCGATAACTTGAGAAATCCTTAACATATGAACTTCAAAAATCTTGTATTTATTCTGAGATCATAGGGATTAGGGATTAATTCATATAAAACCTACAGAAGACACTAATGCTGTCAATGAACGTTCCATGTGACCAAGGTACATGTAAGTTGATGTTAAAAGAGTGGTGTTATGTCATGGGAATAGTCACGGTTGCGGGGCATTTGTGTTTTTAAACACACCTGACTTGTTTTAAGTCTGTTATAGCTGCGGTGTGCATCATGAGGACGCTGTTGTTTGTGATGAAAGCATAGCCATGCCGGTAGAGAGCAACCAATTAATTCGTTATTACTTCAATTTAGGCCTTAATTACGACGAAATAATTGCATCACTTCTCGCAAACAACAATATTATCATCAGCAAACGGCATCTTAACCGGAAACTGCGAGTTTTAGGTATTTTTCGGCGAAAAAGTCACACCGATATTGTAGACGTCGCCACCTTTATTGAAGGAGAGTTGCAAACATCCGGGCAACTGCATGGCTAGGGCCTATAGGGTGCACTGAACTAATTCAAGCGAGAATTTCTGCGCCAGCTGATTAGCATAAAAAGTGCCCCCCCCCCCACAATTTCTTTTGAAAACGGAGACCGTTTGGCTTTAAAAGCGGTGGAATTGTTTAAATATACCCAAGGATCAACTCCCTGATTTTGGGGCTTCCATCTGAGGGCAGGCTTGATAAAATCACGGATGAAAAAATGGGTCCTATTTGCCAGTGAAAGTGGAAGGGTGCCACTTGTAAAATGGCTACATGCAGGCTCGGGAACTATCACTTTTCGGGAGGTGATTTTATTTTGGTGTGAATATTTAAAAATGTAATTGGCTAATGTACGTAAAATTGAAAAAGAAATGAAAAGATGAAAGACAAGACAATAATTTAATTTTTGTTTCAGAAACCCCAGTGATGTTGGCTTGCATGTTACTTGGCCTTGAACTGTGTTGATTTTACACTGTTTTCAATGGGGCTTGAATTAGTACAGTGGATCCCTATAGATGAATGCACTTGCAATGCGTTCAGAGTGGTATCAATATTGATAGAGAAACTATCAATATTGTCAAACTCGTTTTTTTAACAAAAAGTACTAGCTAGTAGGACTATTCCAAAAATAAAAATAGGGGTGCAACAATTTTGTGTGGGGAGGAGCAGATCGGGTCCCTACATATATACTTCCTAAAAACAAGACTCGCCAAACATGTACTTGCAAAAAACAAGACTGTTACTAAAAATAGACTTCACAAAAACAAGACTCGCGAAACATACTTGCAAAAAACAAGACTCAAGAAACATATACTTCAAAAAAACAAGACTGTTACTAAAAATAGACTTCACAAAAACAAGACTCGCGAAACATACTTGCAAAAAACAAGATTTGCCAAATTTATACTTGCAAAAAACAAGACTCGGGAAACATATACTTGCAAAAAACAAGACTCGGGAAACATATACTTGCAAAAAACAAGACTCGCAAATATATACTTGCAAAAAACAAGACTCGGGAAATATATACTTGCAAAAAACAAGACTGTTACTAAAAATAGACTTCACAAAAACAAAACTCGCGAAACATACTTGCAAAAAACAAGACTCGGGAAACATATACTTCCAAAAAACAAGACTGTTACTAAAAATAGACTTCACAAAAACAAGACTCGCGAAACATACTTGCAAAAAACAAGACTTGGGAAACATATACTTCAAAAAAACAAGACTGTTACTAAAAATAGACTTCACAAAAACAAGACTCGCGAAACATACTTGCAAAAAACAAGATTTGCCAAATTTATACTTGCAAAAAACAAGACTCGGGAAACATATACTTGCAAAAAACAAGACTCGGGAAACATATACTTGCAAAAAACAAGATTCGCCAAACATATACATCCAAAAAACAAGACTTGCTAAACATATACATCCAAAAAACAAGATTTGCTAAACATATACATCCGAAAAACAAGATTCCACAAACATATACATCCGAAAAACAAGATTCACCAAACATATACTTGCAAAAGAGCAATTTATACATTCGATGGCACTTACGGGCTTTCGTACTTGCTGGCTGATTGTTGAAAGAGTCTTTTATTTATTAACGTCACGGTTTGCACATTTTCTTCTTCAGCAGTGATCGTAAATGGATCACGATTATTCAGTAGTTTAAGGGGACAGTTATTTTTAGTCATGAGAAAAGAACAACGTCACACCATTGTTGTTAATTAATGGATATTTAGTGCAATGAATTATATGAGCTCGCCAATTTTTCACCGAATATTTTTGTTCTCAAAGTTTATCATTGGGATATAGTTTAAGGGAAAACAAGATTCCACCAACCCAAGTGTCTTTCACCATAGAGCAAGGAACTTGCTCTATGCTTCCACAAAGTGTGATAAATATTCATGTCAAAATCGGAGGGGGGTGCAAGTGCAAAGAATTTATAGTGGGGGCGTGTGTAAAATAGGAAAATCACCGACGGTGACAAACCAAAGCCAGGCCGGGGGGGGGGGTGAGGCTGGATATTATTTGATGCTTGGGGGCGCTATTCAAAACTATAATACGTTTCTATGTATATAATAGCACTATTTTAGGGCCAGTTCCGATCTGTTTTCGGTATTTAAACTGACTTTAGGTCTCTCCATTTTGTTTCCTTTTTTACCTTAACTTTTTTTTCCTTTTTTTCTTTTGTTTGAGTTTTTTGGCAAGTGGGCACACGGCGGGGGGAGGGGGGGGGGCAGGTTACATTTTTGTTGGGGGGGGGGGAGGGGCAAATTCCCCCGTCTCCCGGTGGCGCGGCCACTTGAGATTAGAACATTTATGAGGGCGCGTTATCTTTTCAAAATGTTTCAAAGTCATAGAGTTTGTAGTTTTAGATACGGCGTGTCCTGTCTCACCATTCTACCGGTCTTTTAAACACACTATCCTCCAGATAAACTTCGCACACAAAAAACACGACCGTTCCACAGGAGCTCGCATTTGGGCATCAACAGCAATTTGAAATTACACCAAAAAACACCCGCTCATACTATCATATCAATCAGGGTGCCTTTAACTCTGTTCCCCTTCCCTTTAGGTATTGATGCTTCAGAGGAAATGGTAACAGTAGCCGTTAAGACCAACTCGGCACCAAACGTAGCATACAGTCAATGGGACGCCCGAGCCGTGGGGGACAACCCGGACTGGCGAGAGAGATTCGACAAAGCTGTCTGTTTCTTCGTTCTTCACTGGATTCCTGAGGAAACCCAAGCGCTCCGTAGCATCTCGGCGTGTCTGAAGCCGGGCGGGCAGGCACTGTTCATCATCCGTTTCGAGAACCACGACGACTCCTTCTTTTTACCCCGTGCGACTTCCTTCTTGAAAAGCCATGAGAAGTGGGGTGCTTTTGTCCAGGTATGGATTTTTCCCCCCTTTTTTTTTGGCGTGAGGGGGGGGGTGTTTTGTTGTTTGGTTTGCTGTTTACTACAGCGGTGCCGATTTCTAGTTAACACAGAGGACCGGTATAGCTTAGAAAACTTGAAAAGTGGATGGTGGTGGGGTGGGAAGGTCTTACTTAAAACCCTCCTGCTGTTTAAAAGGTCACAAACGGTCAAAGTTTCCTTCCACTTCCCCTGGTATACTTTTAACAAACCAATGGGTCACTTGACCAATATTGACCCAAGCAATAGCATGGCTCAGAAGGCATGTTTCCATAGGAGGGTTTTAAATGCTTATGCGAAGCATGTCTACTGGAGAGTCACCTGCCCTTTTCACGTAACAGAGATGGTCTTTTTTTTGTCATTCAGGACTACAAGTCATCACTGCACTTTTGGGACCTATCGGTTCAAGAAACGCAGAAAGTCTTCAAAGCGTGTGGCTGGGCCGAGGCTAAGTGTGAAGTACGGAGGCACGAACTGGTCCTGTCCGAAATTTAGTTAAAATGTAAGCTTTAACAATCGAAATGTACCTTTTCCGAACCACATTATGTATGCTTAATGGAGTGCATTCACCAGCTACTGTAAGGTACGCGTTCAAAGTACCAACTAATGTAATTCGTCAGTTTGTCGAATTGCGCGCGCGTGCGATCCGACAAACTGACGAATAGCATACAAACAGTGTGAAGAACAACCGGCTATTAGAGATTTTTTATTCCGAATAAACACCAAAAGGGTTATTATCGAAACATAAAGGGTAAAATACAACGCCCAGAAAAATGTCCAACTTCATACGCGAATAACTCGAAAAAGCTTTTCGCTTATTCGTCGATATGTCAGCTCTGCGACGGGCTATTCAATTCAATTCAATTCAAATAGACATTTTCTATCCACATTTTCAAATCGTGATGAATACAGTACAAACGTATTCATAATACGGAAACAGAATACATTCATGTACAAAATAATTCGGAATTGAGAAAGTATGGAGGCATTTAAGAAGCTGGAGTTGTACAGAAATGCCTTACATAACACAAGGGGGTTCAGTTGTTCAAATATTATTTTAAAATTATTCAATCAGGATGTGCATACACGTGCGCATGTTTAAATGTCCTGGATTGGTTCTTCTCTCTTTTCAACAGTGTTTTTGAAGACATGTCTTGGAGAAACACCGTTGATCATCGTCAGAGCTGGAGGATTATTTGCAAGACTTGTGGCAGTGGGCGTTTGGATCGTTATGGGGATAAGTCTCAGCCCAGACATGTCCGCCTCACTTTGGAATTTATGGTCGTACACGCTTGGAAATAAGACTTGCAACCTTTGGGCCTCCCCATCATCACACATTGCTTGGGCAAGATAATAAATATGCATTATTTAGTTCATGACCTTGTGTTTGTATGGCCAGCCGCGCCGCGCGCCCGACAAACGTCATAAACTATGATGCATATTCATTATCTTGCCCAAGCATGCCTACATAATGCATACATTACAACGCGGCCGCCATTTTGAAATCGCATGGAGGGCATTTTCAGGACGATAGTACTGTACGGCCAGACGCATTCGGGCTAATCCGGCCGTAGCGCGGTATAAACGATATCTTCGCTAGCGCTATGCATGCAGTCATAATGTCTATGCATGCGGTGCATTAAAAATACAGCGCGAACAGCGACCTCACGCGGCCACTACTTTTATGCAAATCAGTTGAACCCAATCTAGCGCCTTGGTTCAATCGTCCATGTAAGGTTTTGGGGGTGGTGATCATTATGTTAATAGCCTTAGCTGACCTTAAATGTCGTTTTCTTATTGGTCGATCGTTGCGTGGAAACTTGCATAGTAAAACGTGGCACCGTACATGATCCATACACGTAGTACGTACATTTAATACAAATGTTTGCTAATTAACACAACGTCCAAACGTTGTGTTTGAAAGGATTGATTCTTCAAAATCACAACTTTTAAACATGAAGCAGAATTTTAAAGATGGCGTCGGCACGTAAAACGGATAAACTGCAGCCCTAATTATAATGTGCCATATTTTGGCACATTTAAATTACACAATTCCAGGGGTTACGATCGCGCAAGGTATGATGGGAAACAACATGGCGCTGCAAGATCGTACCCACGGGGCACGAGGTTGGCGATACCGATTCGTTGATTCCTAATATCGGTGCAACATACGCAGTGGGGCTGTGAATGTCACCGGGTCAATGCACCGTTGTATGTGACTGATTTTCTGCACATATGGGGGCAAAGTTCTCCATAATGGCGTCTGATATCCGACAGTTCAGTGTGTGAATAAAGATTAGTCATTCAGGGATGTTCAGACACAGTCATAGTTCCTAAAGATTTTCATTACTTTCATAGTCTGTTTCGACCAGTGAAAATTAGCATCTCTCATGAATTTCTCAGCGAGTAACGACTACTGCGGGGATGGCAGATTCGTCCAACATTCCGTCATCATGCAACACATTGACAAACTGGAGTTGAGACCAGGAGACACGGTACTGGACGTGGGATGCGGCACTGGGGAAGAAACTAAGTCAATGGCAGGGAAAGTCAAGAGTGTAACAGGTAAGATTCAGTTCCATTCCTCGGCCTCTGCATCGCCAGCTGCTCCAGGGAGGAGGTGTTGACGCACCTATTTTTCCGGCTATCGTAGTTGGGTTTTTTTGTGAGTTTGTTTTCTCGAGAAACTATGCGAGCAGAAAGCCTCCTATAATATGCACGAAATGCCGACTTTTTAGACGCCCCGTACGTATGGCATACGCAGTGTCCCCCCCCCCCCCCCCCCCCCCCCATTCCATAAGTTGGGGAAGAAAGGAAGATAGATGTCCTCTTCATGCAGGTTAGGTTTATTTTATTTTTTTATTTTTTTTTTCGGGGGGGGGGGGACAAATTCCCCATTGCGGCCATTCCCCATCCCCCCCCCTGCCCTCCCCCGTCCCCCGGTGGCGCCGCCACTTGTGATTAGAACATTCATGAGGGCGCTTTATCTTTTCAAAATGTTTCAAAGTCATAGAGTTTGTAGTTTTAAATACGGCGTGTCCTGCCTCACCATTCTACCGGTCTTTTAAACACACTATCCGATCCTCCAGATAAACTTCGCACACAAAAAACACGATCGTTCCACAGGAGCTCGCATTTGGGCATCAATAGCAATTTGAACTTACACACACACAAAACCCGCTCATACTATCATATCAATCAGAGTGCCTTAACTCTGTTCCCCTTCCCTTTAGGTATTGACGCTTCAGAGGAAATGGTAACAGTAGCCGTTAAGACCAACTCGGCACCAAACGTAGCATACAGTCAATGGGACGCCCGAGCCGTGGGGGACAACCCGGACTGGCGAGAGAGATTCGACAAAGCTGTCTGTTTCTTCGTTCTCCACTGGATTCCTGAGGAAACCCAAGCGCTCCGTAGCATCTCGGCGTGTCTGAAGCCGGGCGGGCAGGCACTGATCATCATCAGTTTTGGGAACCACGACGACTCCTTCTTTTTACCCCGTGCGACTTCCTTCTTGAAAAGCCACGAGAAGTGGGGTGCTTTTGTCCAGGTATGAAACAGTCGTCCTTCTAAATTGGATCTTTTCCACCCCCTTTTTTTTTTGGCGTGAGGGGGGGGGGTGTTTTGTTGTTTGGTTTGCGTAGATCGAGATCCCTTTGTGAAACCGGGCTGAATCTCAGTCCAGCTGTTTACTACAGCGGTGCCGATTTCTAGTTAACACAGATGACCGGTATAGCTTGAAAAACTTGAAAGGTGGATGGTGGTGGGGTGGGAAGGTCTTACTTAAAACCCTCCTGCTGTTTAAAAGGTCACAAACGGTCAAAGTTTCCTTCCTCTTCCCCTGGTATACTTTTAACAAACCAATGGGTCACTTGACCAATATTGACCCAAGTAATAGCATGGCTCAGAATGCTTGTTTTCATAGGAGGGTTTTAAGTGCTTAATCGAAGCATGTCTACTGGAGAGTCACCTGCCCTTTTCACATAACAGAGATGGTCTTTTTTTGTCATTCAGGACTACAAGTCATCACTGCACCTTTGGGGCCTATCGGTCCAAGAAACGCAGAAAGTCTTCAAAGCGTGTGGCTGGGCCGAGGCTAAGTGTGAAGTACGGAGGCACGAACTGGTCCTGTCCGAAATTCAGTTAAAATGTAAGCTTTAACAATCGAAACGTACGTTCTCCGCATTCACCAGCTACTGTAAGGTATGCGTTCAAAGTACCAACGAATGTAATTCGTCAGTTTGTCGAATTGCGCGCGCGTGCGATCCGACAAACTGACGAATAGCATACAAACAGTATGAAGAATAACCGGCTATTAGAGATTTTTTATTCCGAATATACACCAAAAGGGTTATTATCGAAACATAAAGGGTAAAATACAACGCCCAGAAAAATGTCCAACTTCATACGCGAATAACTCGAAACATGCTTTTCGCTTATTCGTCGATATGTCAGCTCTGCGACGGGCTATTCAATTCAATTCAATTCAAATAGACATTTTCTATCCACACTTTCAAATCGTGATGAATACAGTACAAACGTATTCATAATACGGAACAGAATACATTCATGTACAAAATAATTCGGAATTGAGAAAGTATGGAGGCATTTAAGAAGCTGGAGTTGTACAGAAATGCCTAACATAACACAAGGGGGTTCAGTTGTTAAAAAAATTACTTTAAAATTATTCAATCAGGATTTGCACACACGTGTGCACGCGTAAATCTCCTGTTTTTTCTTCTTTCTTTTCAACGGTGTTTTTGAAGACATGTCTTGGAGAAATACCATTGATACCAGCGGAGGATTATTTGCAAGACTTGTGGCAGTGGGCGTTGGATCGCTATGGGGATAAGTCTCAGCCCGGACATGTCCTCATCACTTTTGAAGTTATGGTCGTACACGCTTGGAAATAAGACTTGAAACCCTGTGGCGTTTTTCGCTTTCAAGTCTTTTTTTTTTGGCGTTATTTTGATATTGTTTTTTTAGGTTCAGTAGAGTCTTTCCTACATGAAAACAATTATGCTTATTGAATTGTTTAATGGTTTCAAAAAAAAAACAAGTCTAATAGTACGTACATCATGGCGGCGTGGTGAATTGGCCGACTCTGTTCGTTGCTCTAGGTACTAGTGATCATTCAGTCTCAGAATAGTTTTGCTTGACCAAACTACCTACATTTTCTTAACTCCAAAAACTTAATTTTTGGGGCCTTCTATTAATAAATAGTAAAGAAAATAATCCTTGTTTTACCGGCCGTGCCATAATATGTTCGTGAACGAGACAGTACCGTACCGGTGGCACATGAAAATCCGACTCCTATGAAAATCGGACCCCTATTTCCCTATTATTGGTTGATCCCTCGCACGTGACAGGTCAATCTCCCGAAACGATCCTAAAAATAGCATAGTATCGTACTCACGCGTGCGCAGTACTACCAATGAGTCCACATTTCATGGAGTCGGATATTCACGCTACACCTGATTTTCAAATGCGATACCG